TCAAACAAGTTCTCAAAGACAGGGCAATCCTCTCCAAGATTATCTGATACAAAGTCAAAATCTATCAAAATTTATCTCTAGTTCTCTGCCTACAAACGAGGAACTGCAGAGAAATGGTGATAGAGATCAAGAGAAAATTGATACACTTAGCCAGCTCATTAGAAAACAAGTGTTGGGTATCTGGATTTATTCGGTGCAGAAACTCCACATAATCAGCTGAATGGAACTGAGCAAGCTCCACAGGATATGCTTTGTGAGGACGCTGCATGGTAGTACAAAAATCAACAAAAAAACAGTAAACCTACAAGCACGTGTTAAAAGCTTCACTGTAAGACAAATTCAAAGAGAAAGACACTAACATAAATTTCCATCTTCTTATGAAGCTCATACGAGAGAACAAGATGGTGAGTCATACAGAGTCGATGTGGTTTCATTGGATGATTTGGACCAAAGTAAACACTTCCCACGTCTCCTGCAAAACCATATTTGTGTAAGGTTTAAGTTTAAATGACTTTCTTATCTTGAAACACCACAACCACCTAAGATCTTATTGTTAACTTGAATGGAATTATACATGTTTCTTCTTCTAGATATGCCACGTGTACCAACTCCAAAATAAAACATATAAATGGATATGGTTTGCAGTTCTACAAAACATAGGAATATTTGAAACCATTTTTAAAATGTAAAAGTGCGGCTTGTAAAGTAGGCAAATCCTAAGATTGCAATCTACAATTTTCCCATAAATATAAAATGTTCTTATTAAGCATGAGCATAAGTTCAGCGCAAAAGTAGACGAGAGTTGATTATATCACGAAATAATCCACAAATCAATGGTTCTTTCAATGTGCTCTTTCCTACCCCAACAGTCTCGTTTACAAGTTACGAATAATTCGAAGTGAATGGATTTGGGAGGGAAGGAGAAAACAGAAAGTTAAATACAAACACCTATTGCTTTGATGAAATTTCTCATCGTTGCAGAGAAAGGTGTTCCGAACTGAATCGGGGAGAACTTGAGCATTAGATTAGTAAACTAAAGAAATAGATGTCGAAGGGACGTAGAAAACAAAAATAGTACCATCATAAAAGTAGGAAATCCTATCCTTGAACCGCATTTTAGCTGGAAGACCACAGCAAGCACGATCACAAACTTCTAGTGTTCGCACTCCACCATCGTCCTGGCTTCGCAGTTGTTGATTCGATTAGAGGACACACATGAAGCAACTGCAGTGGATGAACCGTCATTAATTCGATTCAATTACTCCGTAAGTATATTGATTGTCAGTACCACCAATCACTGAGTTTAAATAATAAATAAATAAATAAAGCTTATAACACGTCTCAAACAAAACCCCCGAAAACACACATAAAATGAAATCCAATAATTTCAAGAGTAGAACACACAGTCAACAAAAAAAATCGTCAATGAAACAGTACAACCAGAGAAATCAGAACGAAGCTATAAAGGAAACGATCAAAACATTGAAACTCCAATTCAGATTGACAGATTACGATTCTTCGAATCCTACTCCTGAAAATGAAACTGCAGAAGGAGCAAAACCTGATGCGAATTCGGTGGAGAGCAAGAAATGGCTCCGGAAGCTGGAGCAGATGGGCAAGGAAGAACAGAGGAGGACTTTGAAGAAGGCCCGTTGATGCTGCTCACATTGTTTCGCAGCTTGTCGAATACGGCCTTAGGATCGCGCGGGTTTCTTTTGGTGGGTACTATGGATATTATTATTATTTAGAATTAAATTTTTCATTTTCCAATTATCGTTAAAATATTATTTTTTAGAGATTGGGGGCCCATAATACCGTTATTGGGCCTGACGACTGAGGAAACTAGTCTGTGCAAACATTAATGGGCCAACTTTTAGGCCCACACAATAATGGAAAAGATTAAAATAATAATAATAATAATAATAATAAAAAGGTAATACGAACGAAACTCCCCCAATCCTCGTCGATCCTTCGTCCCCCATCTGCTACCTTTCTGAAGCAACGATTTATCATTCTCCAACCTCAAGTGAGTTTATCCCCCATTCTCTGGATTTTTCTTTAGGATTATGGAGTAAGATCTCTCGAATGTTTTGATACTGTAATCTAGAACTGGAATTTTGATGTTTTAATTGCGCTTTATTATGATTATTTTCCTTTTTTTAACTTTCTGGTTAATCTGGTTAACGATTGTTGTTAGATGTGATGTATCTATGCACTTGAAATGATTGGTTTGTGTATTTTTTCTGTCGGTGGTCGCTTTAATTTTCAATTGGATTAGTGTTTTTAGGGAATTGAATTTTATATGTTTTTTGTCTCCCCGATGATTGAAACATGGATGAATGTCATTATACGACTCGTTAATTTCGGGGAAAAATAAAAGTTACCGGATTCATTTTGATGGTATTATGAGGGAGTTTTTAATTTATTCTCATGTTTCCCGACGCATTTCATTCGAAGGAGTACGTATTTTGTCCTCCAAAGATGGAATTGGTGTAGTTCTTGTACACATTGTTTAGGAGCAACTGAGAAAAATTTGTCTGGGAAGGGGTATTATAGCATGTTCTGGTTTGTATTTGAGATTTATCGAATTTGGTGGATTATATGGGCGAGTGTAAACCACCATGGTGACCATTTACTTAGAATTTAATATCGTTAGAATTATTTTTGATGACCTATTTAGTAAGGTTAGGTGGTTGTCTCAAATTCTCATGGTTATAAATATGTATGCACACATGTATGTGTGAGAATGAAGATATTTCTTAGAAGTTAATTTATGTTTATGCAAATATACAAGTGATGCACTTAAGATGTTTGTGGTATATGGGGCTTAATATTGAAAAAAAAAAAGTAACCTACAAGAGAATTAGGGGCATAAATCACATTAGTTAAGTTAACTGTATCGTATTGTGTGGAATGCTCGTTTATTATAAACAAGAAAAGATTTGTGTGGGATGTAGCTAGTTTCTATTGTTTTAATATCTGCTATGGTCCATGAATTCTTGAAATTGATGGAAGTTTCAAATGCCATTCTGTTTGAGTGTTGAGTCCCACATAATATGATTCTCATTCACTTCATTTGTGGATTAGTTGATGCTTCGATTGTCGAAAATGGAGACTTGTGCACAGTCATGTCTATTTTATCTATAGGTCTTACATTTCAAGGTAGATATTGTGAGATCCACATCGGTTGAAAAGGAGAACGAAACATTTTTTATAATAGTGTGAAAACTTCTTCCTAGTAGACGCATTTTAAAAACTTTGAGGGGAAGTCCGAAAGAGAAAGTCCAAAGAGGACAATATCTGCTACCGGTGGGCTTGGGCTGTTACAAATAGACATCGGCTTCTTTCACTTCTAGGGCTGCCATTCTTACTAGCTGTTAGCAATATATCATGTTTTTCTGCCGTTGTCATTGTAAATATTTTGCACTCATTGTCTTTACTCTCACAATTGCTATAGAAGTTTACTATTTTACAAAGATTATGCCTTGTGATACATCTCAAAAGCATACTTTTCTTTACATATGGATAGTTTGAGAGCTAGAAAAGTACGGGGAAGTTTACTAATTTTTTGTTTGAATTATAATGCAGCATGACGGAACAACCTTTTAGGCCTCGTGAGAAACTTATTGAAAGGCAAAAATATTTCCAGAGCATCCACAAGCACACGTATCTTAAAGGGCCAATGGATAAAATCACCTCCGTTGCCATTCCAATTGCTCTTGCAGCTTCATCACTGTATCTCATCGTAAGTTTACCTTATTCTTGTCCATCTTAAAGAATGTTGATTAATCATCTAACCTATCGATCTCGCTCGTGTCTTTCGCACAGGGACGAGGAATTTATAACATGTCGCATGGCATTGGAAAGAAAGAATGATGTCACAGTCTTTGCATCTGAATTTCAAACAGTTTTATGCTCTGGGACTCTGTGAATTTTGTTATTGAAATAGTTTTTGTTCAATAAATGTCTAGTTCCTGATTCGTTTACCTGTAGAATACTGGATAGATGCCCAGTTTTTCTACTTTGTTGCTTGATATTGAACAGTTTGTCCCAATTCTTCTTTAATGAGATTGTGACTCGGGATATGTATTGAGATTCTGGAAATGAAATGATGTTCCAGCTTAGAATTGTTGAGCAACTACCATCATAGTTCATATCTTCGTTAGAATTTTCTAAGCCAAATAGAACAAATCTATGAAGATCAACTTGGAAAGCTCCATTAGAATGATTCTAAGCAGGTCTTATTGGTTAATCCTTTTGGTTTTTTTGCCTGGTTTGGTTCGTTTTTGGCTGACTTGCCTTCTCGATTACTAAAATGATATAATAATAGCTATTGAAAAATTATGAAATTATTTGTAGCTGATCATGAACACACAAAGTTTTAGTATCGTTTTTTTTTTTATATATATATATTTAATGGATTATTGAGAACAGGTGTTTTTTAAATTGATTTTATTAACATAAATGGTTTTATTTTTTAAAACTATGGAATGGTATAAAGTTTTTCTGCAGTAAAAAATTATTTGCTTTTCATTTTTGTTTTCCAATTTAGATTAACCAAGGTTGAAAATTACTTCTAAAAAAATGAAAAATTAATTATATGTATCCTTGTTAGTACTAATGGAATTATATAAAAGACCCGTGTGTAATGGGTTATTTATATTTTTAAAAATTAATCATTCAATTTAAACATGGATAGATAAAAAAATATATATATATAAAAAATTATATATATATTACTAAAATTGTAGATTTAGTCTTCCATTTCACATTTATTGGCTTAAAAATTATATTTTAAAAATATTAAATTAATTATTTCCCATAAATTAGCATGTCATAAAAATGTTATTTTTTTTTTTTTTAATAAGGCTTGAACCTCAAACTTAAAAATTGGGCCTCGTTATTTCTATCTGGTCTAACAGATTGGGCCCATATCTAAGTCCAGTAAGTTGAATCTTAGGCCCACAGAAAGAAACAAAAAGCTGGCCGATACTGCTTTCCCCTCGCACCGCAGACCCCCGCCAAGTCGTCGTCTATCATTCGCCTCCACCAGTGGCAGTTTCCGGAACAACGATTTCTCGTCTTCCCTGAATCCTCCCCCAAATTCAAGTGAGTTTCAATCCATTCACCTATTTCTTTAGGATTTAGAAACCAGGGATCCTTCTTTGATAAACTGATCTAGGATGGGAGTTGTAATGCTTTAATCATTTATTTTTTCTGTTTATTCTTCTCCGCGAATGTTGTTGTGCTTGATGTAATCCTGCTTCAAATGATTTATCTGCCTTAGGATTTTAGGTTTTTACCTTCGTGTGCGATTTTCGGGGATTTAGATTTATGCGACACTATCGATTGAAATGCGATATAACTTCCATAATTTACCATTGAATCATCGATCTCGAAAAGGAGAAAAGTTGATGGAATCGATCTTTTTGGTTTTTTCGTGTAGTTCTCATTTTTATTGCCTATTTTGTGGAAATTAGTACATTTTTCGTTCATCAGTCGCTGGAGATGAGAGATTGCATTTTCCTTCCAACTAGGGTTAGTCTAACAGAAACTGCTGGGAATTAGTTTTGAATTTCCTGGCTCATTATCGTATATGGCATTTATTAAATTGGCGATGCAGATGAGAATATGTGTAAGAATGGAGATTGACATCATTCTTGCTAGTTATGTATTGATAAGCGACACATATAATGTTTCAGTCGGACTTAGTGTTGATTAAGATACATGAGAAAGTTTAGATATGATTTGAGATCATCATGTCATATTATTTGAGTTTTGATATTTTCTGTAATTCATGAATGCTTGGAATCAAGCTTTAAAATACAACCAGAAAACAGTAGTAAAAGGGTTGGTTGAACTCATTAAGTAACCCACTACCAACGCCTAAAGCCACCACCGTTTGGACTTTGTAGTGGAATTGGAGCTTGAGTTGAGGCTTACGCCTTTCAAGCCAAGGCCTCAAAGTGCAAGTAAAAAGGCTTTTACACTCTACGTTCAGAGGCGTTAGGCTCTTTTTATGTGTCGTGCTGGAGGTAAGCTCTATTCGGGCCGGAGCTCGAGATCTCAATTGCCTATCATGTGCTTGAAAAGGTCCCACAGTTCCTCGGCCACACCTCCTGGCTGACAACAAGGCTACTTGGATTGATTATATTCTTTGTATTGTACAGAAAATGAAATTCCATATATGAATATATCATAGGGCGAAGTTGATGTACACCTTAAACGATTTATACCTTGCTTGGAATTGCGAGATGTTCCAAGCGACGTTCTGTTATATTTTTAAGTCCCATATTGAGTGATCTTCTCTGTTGTTTGCATCATTTGTTGACTAATTGCTGTTTGAACCTTTGAAAATGAAGAATTGAGCAGGGATATCCATTTGATCCATGGAGTAGTGGGTTCTGATCTAAGCAGTACTTATGGGAATTCCATTGTTTTGCAGGATGTCTGAAGAACCATTTAGGCCACGTGAGAAACTTATTGAAAAGCAAAAATATTTCCAGAGCATCCACAAACACACTTATCTTAAGGGGCCAATGGATAAGGTGACCTCTGTTGCCATTCCAATTGCTTTGGCAGCTTCGTCGTTGTATCTTATAGTAAGTTTATTTGTCTCTACACTGCTTGAGGATATTATTTTGTTTTCCGTTGTGAACAAATTAGCACTGTTTCATGCAGGGACGGGGAATTTATAACATGTCACACGGGATTGGAAAGAAGGAATGATTTCAAAGATCCATCTTAATCTTTATCTAATAATTGCTTAGTTGCATACTTGGTTACCAATTGGTTTGAATATCAATCTCAGATTCCTTGTTGTGCGTGGGATGGTTTGTCTCAGATTATCGTTTTTGCCCCCTTTGTAGAAATTGTTTGGTTGAGTTTGCTTTCCTGTGATCTGATTATATTTAAGAAGTGAGCAGCATATCCATAAAAACTGTTTCTTTGTTCTTTATATAGTAGTTCAAATGTTCTAGGAAGTTTGAATTTATACAAGATTATCCATTGAACGTAGATTTTATAGAGCGGATGTGATATTACGTAACAGGTTATGAAAACTTAGTTATACTATATAGTTGAGATAAAAATGTACCATATTTCATAACCAACAATTTCCTCTAATTTAATAACAGTTTCTTCCACATAAGGTAGTTCGGAAACAGAAAGTTTTATATGGTTGCGAAGGGAATGGGAATTGTAGCCTTCCAAAAAAATTGTAAAATAAAACCCGAACACGTTTAAGAGTATTTTTGAACTGAATTGATATGGGAAACTTAGAAGAAATATCTTGCTAATTCCTCTTTCTTGACGTGAAGTCTACGCGTTTATATCTCCTCAAGCGCCTTCCTTGTCGAGCATATGATTGCCTCGCTCACTTTAACACCGGGCCAAGCAAGCTCTAAATAAGTAAAGTCAAAGACTCCTTAGTCTATTTTTAGAGAAATTTAGAATTTAGTTCGTATGATTTAAAATTTTTGATAAACTAGGTCTAATAAATATTCTCAACTGTGACTAATAAATATTCTCAATAATACAATCTAAGTGTAACAAGGTGGAAAATTAATCGATTATCAGTTGGAATATTATTCAATATTAGTCTAAAAAAACATCACAAAAATATGGAAAACAAATATTGAGGTATAAAATCCTTGAGCCCCATTTAAAATGTCAAAATTCAGAAGTCAGAAATTACATTTGATGCAGCATAGTATTGTATTTATGTATATATTAAGCAATATTTGTAATTAAATTAGATTGCTTATTTGTTGTTTTAATAAATATTTTCAGGCTGTGCTATGAATAAATAAACTTTTCTAAAGATTGTCTGTAAGTAAAATTAGTTTATTCTGAAACCATAAAATCTTGAATTAGATTTTGATGTTCATTGGTATGGGGAATATACTGTGAGGCACAGGTCAAGACAGATGGGAAACATTTAATTTAAGTCATCATTTTCTCCACAGATTCTAGAGATAAGCAGAAAAATACATTTTCCACAGAAAATAAAGGGAATGGACAAGAGGATGCTCACATTGGAAAAATGAAAGGAGATTTGTTTGGCATGTGAATGTGAATCAAAAGGGAAATCTGTCCACCCAATATCCCAGTCATGTGCAAAAGCAGAGCCACCTACACACTGGCCCCAAATAACTTTTACCCTATTACCTTTGCATTGGATCCACCACAATCTATGAGTTTTTATTATTAAAATACCAACTCTATAGCCAATACAATGTTTTTTTTTTTTTTTTTTCTGAGATACCCATGAGTGCATAGTAGTTTGCACGTGCCTTAGATATGTTAACCTGCGATATCTCAACTCTTTAGGATATGTATGCCTTCACTCAAAAGGTTAAAGATTCAAATTCCAACATCTACTTCGACATGTCAAACTTAATAAGAGGTAATTAAGGAGACAGCAAAGACTCCATCTTAGGGAATCTTATAGTAAAGATATCTCGTTTGAGTCTTAATTGACTCAAAAGATAGTATACAATATTTTTGAACTAATGGTTTTGATAAAGAATGATTATGCTAGAAAGAAAGATAGGTCGAGTGTACACGGTATCCAAAATGCAACTATAGACCATACCAATAACTCGAGTATAGACGAGTAGGGGTGTAGCTCAATAACTTTTATTTTCTGAACAACGAATTAATTTGAGTTTTAAATTATAGTCATGTGATCCTGGAACAGTTTGATCATATCAAACAATGAGTGGATGAGTCGGTTTGGACAGGGTATAAGCAGAAGCACGTTACGGCAAATCTTGTTGTCTTAGTGTCACTCTATTGCTACAAGGTAGCCATGTGATTTTCCTAGAAGATTGGTTTCATTTCCACCATGAACAATCATATCGAACAGATAGGCAGGCAGATTATACATGGAACCCAAAATCAATTTGGACGAAGAAAGAAAAAGGATATACTCGTGAAAAATAGATCCAAACAGGTGGAGGTGGAAGTTGTGGGTCTAAGTCCTATATGATGGTGTGCCTTTTTCAGATATTGAGCAAGAGATGCTGTCGAGGAAGATAGGGGACAACAATGCTTTCAAGTATTTGAGTCAGCAGGGAAAAGAAATGACACGTGAGCTCTGTCGGTGCACGTAAATAGTGACATCCAATCTAACGAAATGTCTTGATGTGTTTTCTTTTTTGTATATAAAGAGAGAAGGGCCTCTGAGTTCAAGGGTGGAGCAGCCATGGAAGGAGAGTTCAAGCACTTGGTGCTCGTGAAGTTTAAGGAAGGAGCGGCGGTGGGAGAGATTCTCAAAGGCATGGAGAACCTCGTCACCGAAATCGAAGCTGTCAAATCCTTTGAATGGTAGTCCTCGCCACATTTGTTAAAATATGAAACTTTCAAAGCTATTTTGTAGGCATTGGTTCTTCAGTTTTGTTGGATGTCTTTTAGCAGGGTGTGAACCCGGGAGAGGAGCTGAGTCTAAAGAGGCTCCCTCTAACTTTCTCCCTAAATGTTACGAAGGAAAACATTGTCCCTCCCTATAAGATTTTCTAGCTCCACCCTCGTTGGACCCAAGATTTAAGTATTACTTTCTTTTTCTTTATTGGCTTCGTAGCTGGATTAAGAGATTTTTATGGTTGGAATGGACATTCTTAGGACATGATGTTGAATGTTTAATTAGTTAAAGTTTTATGTAATTTTGTGATAATTATTTAAATTTAGTTTAAAGGGTCTGTTAAAAATTAATAAAAGGGTAAACATGATTTCATCATATAATTTATCATGAAACGAAGAGAAAGATGAATGTTTGAAGGTGAAAACAGGGGGCAGGAGATGGAAGGACCAGAGATGCTTACACAGGGATTCACACATGCCTTCTTGATGACATTCGAGAACAAGGAAGCTCACACTGCGTTTACTGCGCATCCCAAGCATGTTGAATTCTCTGCAACTTTCTCGGCAGCCATTGAAAAGATTGTGCTTCTTGATTTTCCAGCTATTCGTGCCAAGCCACCTCCATCAGCTTGAATATCAACCAATACCTCTTTATGTTGGACATGTAAAACATTATTTTTATAATGGTACTACTCTTGGTTTTCCGAAGAAGTGATCCCTTTTCTTTTGGTAATTAAAATTTACTGCATTGGGTAGATGATGTGTACCGTTGGATCCCTGTTTTGTGATTGGAATTCGTGGAACCGCTGCACAGCACGAGCAGAACTGTCAGTCTCTTCCCGCTGATGAACTTGAAAGCCATCTTTTTCCTGTTAAAATAAATCGCTGCAATTTTCGCACGTAAAAACTTGTTTAAATCCACACGTTCTAATTGTATATGTATCACAGTATTCACTGACCAGCTTTTGTATAGGACTTACCAATTTATCGCCTTGTTAGGAGATCAGTGGACCCAAGAAGCTATCTCCATTAGATGCAAATGGCAAGAACCCTGTGGTTCAAGAAGATGGCCCAACTAGACAAAATAACTGTTAGAAGATCCATGGCGCAAGTAATTAGCCCATCTCATCATTTTCTATAATTACTGACGTTTACAATAACCAATTCAAAACCCACAACATAAATACAATGCAAATAAAAATATCAAAATATACAATTCAACTAATAAAGCAACGAACTTGATTTCAACGCCTGGGTGATAGCCTCAAGATTCTCATTCAAACCTAGGTTTTCTTGCACGTGGCAATTTCAACCATCAACATTCGGGTGAATTTAAGTATTGAGCTCCTCGCCAAAAGAAGTTGAGTTCCTTCAAGTGTTTTCTGTCCACTTACCTACACCAATTTTTTACTTCAAATGCAAATTTTATTCACTGTTAAAAGAAAAAAAGAATGAGATTGTATATACTTACTTCTATTAATGTAAAATATTGACTGTGCTCGATGATGAATTTTTAAAATTAAACTTCGCCAATAGTAGAAAGAGAACAGAAATAAAACAAGATCATTATAAAACAATCTCTAGTTTATAGAAAGGGTGGTAGGATATTGATGAATTCAAAAGGTAACAAGGAAAGACAGCTATGTGTCCCACCTCTGTTCTCTTTTCTTTGAATCAGAGAGTATTTTATGTTTAACATACCATACTAGTGAACTTTAGATTTTCAAGAGTAGAACTGCGTTTACCATTAAAACTCTTCATCATCCACGGTTGGTCTAGTAATAGGAATTGACCATCTCCCCAGATGAGCTGTGTAATTTATGCATCGGACAACTCCTCGACTGTTAGACCCATCAGGGAAGTCAATCACACTAATGCTTCCAGCATCCAGATGGAATGATCCAATCCAATCTTTTGTCAGATTTAGACACCGCCCCACCAATCCGAGAAGAATAGCAGGATGACCAACCACAACAATAACCTTCTCTGGCTCCTTTTCATCAGCCATCTCATTCAACAGAGACTTCCAGGCTTCACCACTCTGATTCCACACTTCCGTAATCATCACCTCGTCCAATTTGTTTAACCAACCAGGTTCAAAGACAGTCATGTTACCTACATCCTATGGAACAAAAAGCAGAGAGTCTCAGAATGGAAATTCAAGTATTGGATCAAAAAGTATAACTATTAGTTTCATATTCATCCAAACCTAAGGTAGAATTCCCCCACCGGGATAAACCCAAACGAGATAACTGAAAAATTAAAGGAAATTGGGCTTTTCAACAAAAATTTTAAATAAACAACTTCTTTATATATATTTGATGAGGAATGATTTGAACCTCTAACCTCTTGTCAAAGATACATGTCAATTATCATTGAGCTATATTTACTTTGGTGTAAATAAACAACTTACTCATCTACTTATACTATGGTAAATATGCAACTTTTTCATCAACCTGACTGTGAAATGGATTACAACCTTAAAGATATTACTTTTAGTCTAAAAATTTCATGGCCAGATATCTTGCCTGCTTGAAATGATCAAGAATATTGTCTACATCAAGTTTATTCGTCTGCTTCATCTCCACATAGCGAGGCACACAATCAGCACCCAAGCAATCTGCAGCTTCTTGTACCTACAACAAATGAGCGGCGTCTAAAAAGAAATGATTTTTTGACCCTCGAGAATTTAGTTGAAATGCTTTTCTTTGTATCTTTTTGACACAGGTCTGCATGAGCGGTTGAAAGAGATAGAATAAAATCAATTGATGGTGATTAGTCAACCTTTGCCTTATTCCATGATGCTCGTGTATGCAAGAGTTCCACTGTTTTTAAATTGTCAGGTGATAAGACACGTTAACCAAGATTTCAAAATTAAACTAAAGAATTCTTGAAGGTTGAAAAGGCCAAGAAGAAGAGTATATGAAGACTATCGTGCCACAGTAATTACTAATCAATTACTCCAGGACTTGTTATATGGTGCTTGTAATGCATACTTCAGCTTAATCCAACGAAAAATATTCTTGAAGGATGCTGAACGGTGAGGACACAACTAAACTCCATTTTCAATATAAGATGGATAATTTTTTCTGGAAAAAGAAAATGCCAAGAAAGGCCTAAGAAGAATAGGTTTCCATAATCTAGTAAGAGGTACGGGACGACAAGGGAGAATGTCTTCAACCGTACAACAAATGTGGGAATAAGGATTTGAACCTCAAGGTGTAGACGTCTTAATCATTGAACTATGCGAAGTACTATTTTTTCATCAATTTGTTCCGTTCTTCTATCTAAAAGGTCTTGCAGCATTCTGTTCGGATTTCTAATATAATGTTAAATATGTCATAGTGTCTGATGTGGCATTCATTTCACACTCTCTAGACCCTCGAAGGAAAATGACGAGAGAAAGAAAAGGGAAAACATTAGTAAAGTGTGTGATTCACAAACCATAAAAGATAACATAAAAGGAACGACGAAAGAAAATGTAATCATACACTGGATATTGTTGCAGCCGTCTCTACACAAGCTCTCTTGGGACTGCTAATTACAGCGCTCACTTTTAGATCAAGAAGGAGCTCTGCAACTTTCTGGGACTGTGATGCATCCATAAAATACAATTATATGAATTCGAAACCTATCTGGTGAAATGGGATGGATGCTCTACCTGTATAGTTCCAAGCATGTTCATTGGCTTGTCATCCAGGAAGGAAGAACTGGCCTGCAAGGTTGCAACAGCAAAATCAGAGAGATAATAGTCCGTATTGAATTTCAAATTTTCAGTTCTAGAAGTTAGCTACCAAACTACAAAAGTTCCTTGAGTTCATTAGGCAAGCATGATATGAGGTGAAAAGTAAAATACACGATGCCATCAATTATGTACCATACCTCATTAGTCTCGGAAACTCCATGGCAAACAAGTGCGATCCTTTTTGCTGCTTTTCTGCCTCCAGAACTACCGGAAGCAACAGGTGAGTTTGGAGTCTGCGGCAGTGAAAAGATCATGGCCTCTAATCTTATTAAATAAGTTAACATTTTACTGAACTGATGACCAAGAATGCAGACAACAGCTATTGCACGGTGAAGATGTTACCAGACAGGTATGAATCAATATTTTCTTTCCAGAATAAAATTAAGCAATTTGAACTCTGTCAATATAGTCGTAAGCAGAGGAATGCCACACAAAACAAATATAGTTCGTCGTGAAGGAATATTTAAGTGAGTTAAACACGAAGACAGAGAAAAGAATAAGAAAATGGTGACAGGGAAGATAGCACGTGCTGAACATATAAATTAGAAAGGATGGGGGAAGGTACAAAGTTTATCATTTTTTTCTAAAATATATAACTGATATACCTGATTTAGACGGTTTAAACAAATGATTGGAGATCCACCCTCAACTTGTGGAGTGAAATCAAGAACACTAACACCACAGTTGCTCTGAAGTAACACCCTGAAGTACTCAGCTCCTAATCCTGATTTAAGTAGCAGTTACACTAAACACATTCAAGTCGTTAATGCAAAAGGAAATCATAACTTAAAGAATGATACAATACCAAGAGCTGTAGCAACAAGAGCCTGGTTGACAGCATTGTGAGCAACCACCAGGACAGACCTGCTCTCGTGGGCTAGAATTCTGTCCCAACAATTTCGAGCACGTGCCCACAACTCTCTCACTGGATAGTGCCCATCAATGTTGAAATTTGCCGCATCTACCTGCCATTGACGATAAGCGGCACCAAATTTTTCCTTGCCTTCGTGCTTGAGTAGACCCTAAATCCACCCAAGCGCCAACCACAGCAATCGTGACAAGAATGAGGAGAATGTCAATAGGATTAACTATCAATTTAATCTAATCAACACACGCCCCCCC